ATATATATATATATATATATATATATATATATACATATATATATATATATATATATATATATATATATATATATATATATATTTATATATATATATATATATATATATATATATATATATATATATATATCCACCTGTATTCCAAATTCAGGGAGATGGAATCCAGGTGGATTTCGAAACTGTAGTCTCATTTCCAGTAAATCTAGTTTTTGCATTGTGGGTTTTTCCACACATGCATACACACATACAAAAACATACAAATATATGTGTATATATAGTATATATATAGTATGTATATATATATATATATATATATATATATATATATATACATATATATATATATATATATATAATATATATATATATATAATATATATATATAATATATATATATACATATATACACATATACATATATATACGTGTATATATATATAAATATATGGCTAATCATATATATGACACTACATATATATGACAGTTTCTAGCGCTGACTATACCTCCCCAGTGGTAATCGAAGTTCCGGTTGATGTCGACGCCCGTACAGAGGAGCGACCTCGTCGCGCCTCGATTCTTGCGCCACATGCGATCCTACGGAAGGAGACGAGACAGGAGAGCGTGGGACGTTTTCATCTCTTCATGGAAAGCCAATGACTGTACTTCGTAGGATATTCTAGAATATCACATGTTTAAACCTACTGTACATATGAAACTGGGAGCCTCTGACGTACGGTGGTCCATGAATACACGTATCCGTCGGGGTTGAGGACCGGAACGATGCGCCACTCGACGTCGCGCGTGAGGGCCGGCGACTCCAGCAGATGGCCCACCAGGAACAGTGCTGCCGCAGGGCTCGCCCACTCGCGGGCATGCATACCTGATGATGGATTTTAGTTCAGAATTCCTTAGGCGTTGCTATCATGCGAAAGGCGCCACATGGCCCGAACCAGACTCAACTGCTCACCTCCGTCCACGAAGATCACGGGACTCTTCTTGCTGGAACCGCTGTGGATGGTCACCAAGTAGATGGGCCGATTCTCGGTGGTGCGGTCCAGCTCCCGCACCTTCACCTGCCCCGGATACTGGTTCGGCAGCTCCTCCACGTGCGCCTGGATCTGTGGGCCAAGGAGCACCAGCGGAGATGCTTGACTTTGGTGTATAAGTTCTCACTTCACTCAGGTTAAAAACATTCGGTCAGTGCTAAGTTGAACGCTAACGTGATGGCCTTACCTCCTCGAAACTCATAAAGCGCTCGAACGTGGCAACGCCGCGGAGCAGATCGGCTCTGCGCAGGGACGGCTCGTCCATAGATAGTTTCCTTCAAGAGTCAGGAGATACATCACTATACATACATACATATACATGTGTGTGTTTGTGATAAGTATATAAATATATATATATAAATATATATATATAAATATATATATATATATATATATATATATAATATATATATATATATATATATATATATAATATATATATATATATATATAATATATATATATATATATATATATATATATGTGTGTGTGTGTGTGTGTGTGTGTGTGTGTGTGTGTGTGTGTGTGTGTGTGTGTGTATGTGTATATATGCATGAATATATACATCTATATAAATATACTTACATATATGTACACACACAAAAAAAAACAAAAACACACACACACACACACACAAACACGCATACGCACACGCATGCACATACACACACACATATATATCTCATGCGTGTGTCCATGAGAGCACATACGCACACACAGAGAGCAAAAAATAAATGCATTTTCTTACGTGGCGAGATCTGTGATGGCAGTCGTATAATTGAGGCCCTTCGCAGTTAACGCGTTCGTGAATTCTTCCTCATAAGTCGGTGCTACGGCTATTTCTGCCAAGCCGAAGTCTGTTTCGTCTGAGAAGCCGAAAAGAAAAGAGAGATAATGTTATCCAGTCGTACGAAAATGTTTGCCCAGAGTCTTCGTAACAAAAAATGTTATGCATAATTTGCAATGTTAGCAACTATAACAATGAAGCTATTATAATTACCCGCGGTCACTTTAAATGCCTCACCACAAACAGGCATATAATGAGAGAATATCACATGCAGCCATTACCATTTTATCTTAAAATCACACGTGTTGCAGAAAATTATACCCTACACAGATAACCCTAACCGTTGAAGGAAGATGAGAAAAAACAGAGATCTCTCCTGCCTCACATTCCTTGCCACTAAGCCTTACCTTAAGCAGCAACTATAATAACGTATACGAAAGCAAGAATACTCACTCACCGAAAGTCTTGGCGAGCACTCACCTTGCACTCTGCTGACTCGGAGAACCTGTAGCAAGTTTGGATCTTCAAGGTCGTAGAACTCTTGAACAAGCGCTTCCGGAGACCCGTCGTCCAGCCTCACTTGCTTCACCTGCCATCTGGAAATCCGTTGAGAGACTGGGAATCAGTGCTTAATCACTGGTTCACAGGCAGTGATTTTGAGAAAGGTTCGAAAGCTCAAAAGAGGAACGAAAAGATAATAATCGAGGCAATCTTTAAAATTACTGCGACAGTTTGATATAAAAAGTGTCATTGAGCCTAGTGTACCTACTTCCCACAAAACTTTTCCTGTTATTATATTTACTGTGATATGTGTTCTAGCATGTATAATGCAGCATCAAATGCCTTAGCTGATCAAAATAGAATTTTACGTGCAATATTTTATAACTTCTCCTTAATAACTATTTCAGCGCTTTCACCTAGTCAGTGAAAAAATCGTTGTTTTATATGGTAAAACGGCTTAACCCATTCCCGCCGGGCATGCCATGCCATGGCCACTGTGAGATTACTTGTTTGATTGTTTTTACGTATAGATGGCTACACTTGTACTAAATCACCAATGAGCCAGTTACAAGTACAGCCTGTCTCGCCCGTTCACCCTTTTCTTTGATTTACGAAATATTTTACGTTATCTTATTTTGCTGTTACTAATGTTAAAAAACATTATAAAAATTATAATGTTTATGATAAAAATAACACCATCGATATTCATGTCACTATTGAAAAATACGTTTTTTCCCGCCATTTCAAATCGGCGCTAACAGAGCCATCTATGGGCAGACATTTAACAAAAAAGTATAGAAAATAGGCACAGCATTTTCCCCATTTTTTGTTCATTTTCCCCGGCGGCAATGGGTTAATGGTAATATTTTTCACAGCAAAAGAAATGGGTAGTGTGTTTATAAAAATTCATTATCATCATGATCAGAATAACCACAAATATCATTATTACCGTTATCATAACCATTTGCATTTTATACTGACTTCTCAAGTCAAGTCATTGTTTGTTTAACAAATCTGCAAAAGGAGGAGTACACTTACCCGTTGTACTTCGCATTAGGCTCATACGGCAGCGTGTGGACCAGCAGGAAAGTGAGTGAAAACAGAAACAGCAGCACGCTGGGGCGCCCCTTGGCCATTGCACTCGTTCTTCTGTTCAGGATAACAAGTAGTTTTATCGTGAATTATTGTATTGAAATGGGTAAGACAAACGTAAAAAAATATATAATTTTTATAACCCAATTCATGAGATAAACAAAGCCTGGACTTATATTCTAGCAGTACATACGCTCTCCTCTTTGTTGAAATGGAGCACCATTAAAAGACATGAAGGGATTCCATTGTTAATGTCGAGAGGCACCTTTGGAAAAGCAGTGTTGTTAGTAGAGCTGAAAGTTACCACGGGGAGTTCTAGACTAGCACAGATACAAATGCCGAGGTGAACCAATCAAAGGACCATCATTCAAATTCTTTAAAGGAGTAGAGCCAAAATTATACCACTGATCCGGATTTCGGATATATATATATGTATATATATAAGTATGTATGTAAGTAAATATATATATGTTTGTATACATGTATGTATTTATGTAAGTATGTATCAGCAATGCTGTTTGTGCAATTGCTGCCGGTTGCACGGTCATGTAGACTGAAGATGTACAGAATGTATGCGGTATGTAACCCTACGTCCCCTTGTGTCAGTTCAACTTCAAAGGTGTCTACTGAAGGCTCCTGGCTGGGTTGCAGCAGCCCTCCTTTCCGGAAAATTGCAGTTAAGACGCATGATGAATTCGGGGAATTGAAGTCGTTTTGCTTTCTCGTCTAATGAGGTCGGCCTGATACTTGCTTGTGATATTCTCACAACCAGGAAGAAGAAACTTGCGTCCGTGTGGCCAGCAGCCATAGTGCTTAGTACTGTCAGCATCGGACTTCTTGATTGTCTTGTCTGTGTAATTTTCCTGCAGAGACGTTTTCCTCTGATTTTGTTGGAGGAATCAGCAATGGATTATTTCATGTAGCAATTCACTATGCTTCGGTTCAGTTCTCTCGGGGATTTGATGGAGTCGTTGTGTCCTGTTGCGGAGGAGGGACACGGGGTCTAGTGTTGTATAATTGTTTTGCTTAGACTTATGGCGATTCCACTCATCTGCGATGCTACTCTGGCGTTGTCTATTTCGATGGTCATATGAATCATTTGCAGAAAATCAAAAATTTCAAAATGTATATTGTTGCATAGTTCCCACGCTTTTGAGCCTCAATATTTTCTGCATTTATGCCCTTTGCTATGTTTAAACTAGTTTCTGACTTTGTGGTTTAGTAATTGCGCTGACTGTTTGACTGATATATCCATATCCAACATTTAATGAAAGGTAATTTATGAGTTTTTAATCAGTGTTGCTATTATTTATAAATCGTAACCTCCACTGAAATGTTTATCTTATTGGAATCTACAATTGTTTGGGAGTAATCTGAGGGTCGTATTTCTTAGGTGTGTTCCATGTGTTTTACGTTCCATCCATACCGTTATATAATTCTGTTCATGTGCAATGCTTTGGTTTGCTGTGATAGTGTCGCTTTATAACCTAAGCCCAAACTATTTAGAATCTACGTGTCTGTCGGCGGCTCCACACCCAGTAGGCCAAGGTCGGCTTCCCGAAAGGGTCGTCGAC